CAGTAGGTAAGACTGGGGCAGGGTGGATAAGGGAGGAAAAGTGAAGTGCACAGGAAGGTCCAACATCCAATTCCCTCTTGACATTCTACCCTTTTGCCCTGGGAACATTCTATGGGAAATTGAAATGCACATGTCCCTTTCTCATAGTTCTCTGGATTGCACTTGGGTATGAGGTCTCATCCTTAAGTAGTTACATGGAATCATTAGCAAGACATTGGGCTAATTTATTCACCTCTTCTGGCCTTTGTTCCTCTTCCCCAAAAAAGTGACTTGGCCCCTTCAACATTAATGATGTGAGGTTTTCCAACCCCATTCCCTTTGACTCTAGTTTTGCCTGCCTTAAATCTATCTTTCATTTCAGGCACCAGGGAAAATTGTGATATGGATTATGTTACTTCTTTGGTCACAGTCCCTACATAGCCCCTTCATCAATTTTTTTTTCAAGGTTTCCAGAGATGTGGTCTCTGTTCATATGTCCAACCTCATTCTTCATTATTCCCATGTCCTGCTTTCTGCTTCAGCACATTGCTAAGAGCACGTTGTCCCATGCGGCTTTTTGCTTATGGGCCTTTTCCCTTGCTGCCTTCTCTGCCAGAAGAGCCTATATTCAATCATCAGACTAGACAACTCCCTGCCCAGAGATCTCTTCCTCCAAGAATCCTTCTCTGACTCCATCACTTCAGGCTAGATTTGGAGCTGCTTTCTGTACTTCACTCTGCAGACTGCCTTTATCTTAGCATTTAATTCACTGTGTTGCAATGTCTGGTTTCTACATCCATCACTACTCCTGGAAGGCAGGCTCTCTCAGGACAAAACCATACCATTAATCTTTGTTTCCCCAACAGCTAACACTTAGCCTGTTCCAAAGAAGCCCTTCTTGGACTAGACACTAGAAACAGAATAGAAACATAGGACAAACGTGCATTTGATGCATGAGGAAAGTATACATGACAAATGGTTGTATCCTCCACCTCTAATTTCTAACCTCTGGTCCTAAGATAAAATGTTTCTAACGTGTGAGAAACTCTTTTTAAAAATGAATGCTGTTACTCATTATTTCATGACCCATTTGAATTGTAATCCAGCCTCTGTAGGAAATGAAATTGTTTTGCTTGGTTATAATGTCGTTGATGACATTAACATGCACAGCACACTCCAGGAAATACCCAGAACTGTGGGTATGTCCTGTGCACTCTCTGATAGTCTGCTTAATAAAACAGATCGGAATGCAAGAGAGTAAGCCACACTTATTAGAAGTCAAGGGAATCTTTTGCAAACTATCGTACTTTATTTACTTATTTAAGATTTTGCTTATTTATTCATAGAGACACACAGAGAGAGGCAGAGACACAGGCAGAGGGAGAAACAGGCCCCATACAGGAAGCCCAACGTGGGACTCAATCCTGGGTCTCCAGGATCACACCCCAAGCTGTAGGCGGCGCTAAACCGCTGCACCACCAGGGCTGCCCCAAACTATCATACTTTAAAGATGAGTCATGACCATTTGCTTAGAAAACCTCTCACCAGAAGCCAGCAGAGATCATTGCAAACTACTCACCCCCTTAATGGTCAGAACAAAGGTGTTTATTTGTAGTTAAACAATTTGCCTCTGATCTGATCATTTTTATCATTCCAGGGACACTCTCTGCTTTGGGATTTTTGTGGGTTTTCTTTTTTTGAGATAAAATTGGCATGTAACATCATATTAGTTTCAGGTGTACAACATGATTCAATATATTGCACATATAAGGGTGCCTGGGTGGCTCAGTCAGTTAAACATCTGCCTTTGGCTCAGGTCATAATCCCAGGATCTTGGGATCAAGCCACAAGTATGACTCCCTGCTCTGTCAGAAGGCTGCCTCTCTCTCCCCCTCTGCCACTCTCCCCTGCCTATGTTCACTCTCTCTCTGTCAAATAGTCTTTAAAATTAAATATATATATATATTATATATATAATATATATATTGCACATATAATATTCGACATATTATAGGTCGAATAAGTCAATAAGTCTAGTTAACATCTGCCACCATACATAGTTACAAAAATTGTTTTCTTGTGGAAAATGTTTAAGATCTCTTTTCTTAGCAATTTTCAAATACCCCATACCGTATTATTAATTATATTCATGCCACACATTACACTCCATGACTTGCTTGTTTTATAACTAGAAGTTAGTGCTTTTGACCTCCCTTCACCCATTTTGGCCACCCCCTCCTGCTACTTGGTTTTTATATCTAAGAAGACTGACAGGGATAACAGCCAATGGTGGCTTTTTTTCCTTTGTAGGTAGGGGCATTACAGAATAGTACATGTTCAAAAATACTTCTAACAAGGCAAAACACAACACTGAAGATCATTTTATGATTTTATGCTGTTCGGCATACTGGGTTATAGGATCCATTCCTCTCTGTTTGGGTATAGGACCCTCAGGACCTGGAGTAGAGAGAGTAGGAAAGTGGACCTCAGATGAGTTCCCCCATCTTCCCAGTCTCATTTGAATCATCACCTTAATGTGAGTGCTGCATCTGATTCTCATCTTTTTTGGGCTCATGTGTCAACATCCTGGTTTAATTTCTATCTTGCCCAGTATTTAACGAGCACCATTGAGGATTTGACTCAAATTCTTTGTGTGTGTGTGTATATACATATATATATATATATATATATATATATATATATATATATATATGAGTTCAATTTGCCAACATATAGTGTAACACCCACTGCTCATCCCATCAAGTGCCCCCCTCAGTGCCCATCACCCAGTCACCCCGTCCACCCGCCCACCTCCCTTCAGTCACCCCGTCCACCCGCCCACCTCCCTTTCCACTAACCCTTGTTCGTTTCCCAGAGTTAGGAGTCTTGCATGTTCTGTCACCCTCACTGATATTCCCCACTCATTTTCTCTCCTTCCCCTTTATTCCCTTTCACTATTTTTTATATTCCCCAAATGAATGAGACCATATAATGTTTGTTCTTCTCCGATTGACTTACTTCACTCAGCATAATACCCTCCAGTTCCATCCACGTCGAAGCAAATGGTGGGTATTTGTCGTTTCTAATGGCTGAGGAATATTCCATTGTATCCATAGACCACATCTTCTTTATCCATTCATCTTTCGATGGACACCGAGGCTCCTTCCACAGTTTGGCTATTGTGGACATTGCTGCTAGAAACATCGGGGTGCAGGTGTCCTGGCGTTTCATTGCATCTGTATCTTTGGGGTAAATTCTCAGCAGTGCAATTTCTGGGTCAATAAGGTAGCTCTATTTTTAACTCTTTGAGGAACCTCCACACAGTTTTCCAGAGTGGCTGCACCAGCTCACATTCCCACCAACAGTGCAAGAGGGTTCCCCTTTCTCCATATCTTCTCCAACATTTGTTGTTTCCTGTCTTGTTAATTTTCCCCATTCTCACTGGTGTGAGGTGGGATCTCATTGTGGTTTTGATTTGTATTTCCCTGATGGCAAGTGACGCAGAACTTGCCAACAAGTGACATGTGCTTGTTGGCCATGTCTATGTCTTCCTCTGTGAGATTTCTCTTCATGTCTTTTGCCCATTTCATGATTGGATTGGTTGTTTCTTTGCTGTTGAGTGTAAGAAGTTCTTTCTAGATCTTGGATACTAGTCCTTTATCTGATATGTCATTTGCAAATATCTTCTCCCATTCTGTAGGTTGTCTTTGAGTTTTGTTGACTGTTTCTTTTGCTGTGCAGAAGCTTTTTACCTTGATTAAGTCCCAATAGTTCATTTTTGCTTTTGTTTCTCTTTCCTTCATGGATGTATCTTGCAAGAAGTTGCTGTGGCCAAGTACAAAAAGGGTGTTGCCTGTGTTCTCCTCTAGGATTTTGATGGAATCTTGTCTCACATTTAGATCTTTCATCCATTTTGAGTTTATCTTTGTGTATGGTGCAAGAGAGTGGTCTAGTTTCATTCTTCTGCATGTGGCTGTTCAATTTTCCCAGCACCATTTATTGAAGAGACTGTCCTTTTTCCAGTGGATAGTCTTTCCTGCTTTGTCAAATATTAGTTGGCCATAGAGCTGAGGGTCCATTTCTGGGTTCTCTATTCTGTTCCATTGATCTATGTGTCTGTTTTTGTGCCAGTACTACACTGTCTTGATGACCACAGCTTTGCAGTGTGGAATCAGAAAAGACCCCGAATAGCCAGGGGAATATTGAAAAAGAAAACCAGAGCCAAGGGCATCACAATGCCAGATTTCAAGTTGTACTACAAAGCTGTGATCATCAAAATTCCTTTTGTGACTTTGGAGTGTTTTGTCTTATGATCCTGAAATGGCTGAAACCTTGATATCCTCATTTGCCTTAGACATTTTCACCAATTCCTTAACCTCACAGATAAAGGGTGTTTTGTCAAGCAACAAATGTCTAGGAAGCATCTGTCCCTGTCCCTGCAAGATGTTGATGGCCCCTAGTACACTAACCATTAAGAATTTGTTCATGTGTTTTATTATTTGGTAAAAACATTTTCTTTTTCTTCCTTTCTTTTTTCTTGAGGAGTAAACTTACATTCTGCCGATCCTGAAATAGTCTGTCCAGATATTTGAGATAGTCTCAAATTTTCTCACCTCTGAGATATACTTATCTGTCCCTTTTCTGCATCCCAGATAAGGCAGATAATCCAGATTAAGTTACAAGGTTTCACTGGATCTCATGTTCCACATTTGCGTTAGATTGAGTTTGGGCCATTTTATTGCTAAGGTTCGAAGTTGTTCTTAACTTTTTAGATTTGATGATTCTAAATAAAGAGGATAAATGGGTGTCTTAGAGGCCAATGGACAGGGGTTGATCAACATTATTAAATATCTCACATAATGAATAACAGAATGTTGGATTCCTAAATTTTGTAATGTTAAGGCTTTTATCGCCAATGCTTCACTTCAAGAAATAAAAAAGGTAGAGAGACTCTAGAGTCTATCCAGTGCCTATTTCATATTCATTTCCTGCTTCAATCATCTAGCTGATGAGTTGGCAATATGGAAGCAAGAAATCAAACAAGTGTTTCAGAATTTTTACTCCTGGGATTTTCTCAAGACTCAGTGCATCAGCCCATTCTATTTGGGCTATTCTTGTCCATGTACCTGGTCACCGTGCTTGGGAACCTACTCATCATCCTGGCCATCACCTCTGATTCCCACCTCCACACCCCCATGTACTTCTTCCTCTCCAACTTGTCCTTTGCTGACATCAGTTTCACCTCCACCACGGTCCCTAAGATGCTGGTGAACATCCAAACACAGAGCAAATCCATCACCTATGCAGGCTGCATCACCCAGATGTATTTTTTTATGGTCTTTGGAGGTATGGACACTTTCCTCCTTACTGTGATGGCCTATGACCGATTTGTGGCCATCTGTCACCCCTTGCACTACACAGTCATCATGAATCCACAGCTCTGTGGCCTCCTGGTTCTTGTGTCCTGGTTCATCAGCTTGTCATACTCCCTGATCCAGAGTTTGTTGATGTTGCGGCTGTCTTTCTGCACCAACTGGGTAATTCCACACTTTTACTGTGAACTTGCTCAGGCCCTCACCCTTGCCTGTTCAGACACATTGGTCAATCATATCCTGCAATACATGGTGACTGCCCTTCTTGGCATTGTTCCCTTCTCAGGGATCCTTTTCTCCTATACTCGAATTGCCTCCTCAATCCTGAGAATCCCGTCAGCTAATGGGAAGTATAAGTATAAGGCATTTTCTACCTGTGCGTCTCACCTCTCTGTGGTTTCTTTATTCTATGGGACAGGGCTTGGTGTGTATCTCAGTTCTGATGTATCTTCCTGGAGAGGCATGATTGCCTCGGTGATGTACACTGTGGTCACCCCAATGCTGAACCCCTTCATCTACAGCCTACGGAACAGGGACATCAAGAGGGCTCTACAAAAAGTCCTGGGGAGAATACTCTATGTTCAGTGATGGGGACACTAGTCCTGGTTTTTTTGAGCTGACAGTGGTAACAGCAGTTGGCTAAAGAAATCCTGCCTCTTAATCACAGTGAGTTTTTCCCTCACCCCTCATTCATAAGTGAATTTGCTCAGAACTACCTTGTGAGTACTTTTTCTTATGTACTTTAACCTCTTATGTTGACTGCTCTGTTATCATTTCTACTCTCCATATCCCCTCCTTTTACTTTCCTATTACTACACTGCAGCTTGGATTTCCAGTCCCATAGCCACTTTCAGTACCAATTCAGAATAGTTGCCTGAAATAGTGCATTTTATCAATAACCATTGCTAGTTCTTCTTACTGAGCACATTTGGTGTGCCAGGCTATGGTAGGTATCTAGAACACAGCAATGAAAGAAAAAAAAAAGACAAAAATCTTTGCCCTCATAGAGCATAAACCTAGGATCTCAGAGTTTATCTGATCACATTATATGTCCAAACAGAATATACACTGATGGATAAATTATGTATTTGGTTATTATCAAGGTTGAACTTTTCTCCATGTGTTTATTGAATGCATTTCTAAAATAAGCTATAAAAAATGTATCACTAGAGATCAAAATACCCCAAGGTCCAGACTAGCAAAACTGATCAGGCTCTAATACATTATTTGGTTTAGTTGCCTTGTTTTGCAGGTGAACTTACCAAGGCCCACACATAAAAGTTCAGACAGTGATAAAATCTGTCTGAAAGGGGACCTTCAAGTGTGATGTCAGGAAAAAGCATCGGATTACAATTCAGGAGAGTAAGAACGGAATCACAGAATTACTACCCTCTAGGTATGTGATGCTGGGCAGCTTCAGGTGATGCAGAATATGTTAGGACCAGTGGATCTCTTAATAAATATTTTCATATCTTCTTCACCAAAAAGAAACTGGATAATGTGTTAAGTCTTTGGATGGTGGTGTTTGCCAAGACACTGTAGCAGGAAAGGCAAACATAGATACATAAATATTCATTCTGGTAAAGATGAATTACTGCCTACTCCAGGATGGAAGGAGTCTGACAGGATCAACTTTCCATCAAGTGGAGTCCTCAAAGCATATTACCATTTTGAAAAATCACTTTATGGGTTTCCAAAAGGGAGAACCATGCACCCCTTAATCTCTTTCAGGCTTTGCATCTAAAAACAGACTTAGGTCTGGAAACAGAAAAGAATCATGATTTTCTTTTTCTTTCTTTTTTTTTTAAGATTTTACTTATTTATTTATTTATGGTAGACACAGAGATAGAGAGAGAGGCAGAGACACAGGCAGAGGGAGAAGCAGGCTCCATGCACTGGGAGCCTGATGTGGGACTCGATCCCAGGACTCCAGGATCGCGCCCTGGGCCAATGGCAGGCGCTAAACCGCTGAGCCACCCAGGGATCCCCCTCTTTCTTTTTTTTTATAAGAATCATGATTTTCAATTGTGGTAGCTGACATCTGATTTTTGCTGACTTGCTTTTGATATTTTGGGTTATCTAAGTCAAACAACAATCTTGATGTCTGCTCACCTAATGGTCTGTTGCCACCACCACAGGTCTCTGGCTCATGGGCCCCGGTCACCATTCTGGATTTGTTGCTCAATTATCCATGGTTAATGCTGCTGCCATTTGAGTTTAGAACTCAAGATACTTGTAATTTAGAACTTCTGCTCTTTAGCTAACTGAATCATGTTAAAAAAAAAAAAACATGAGAATTATAGAGGTGTCTGGGTTGGTGCTAAGCATCCAACTCTTGCTTTCACTCTTCAAGTCTTGATCTCAGGTCATGAGATCAAGCCCCATGTTAGGCTCCATGCTCAATGTGAAGTCTGCTCGAAATTCTCTCTCACTCTCTCTCTCTGCCCCTCCCACTCATGAGCATGCTCTCTCTCTCTCTCCAATAAATAAATAAATCTTTTTTAAAAATCCTCCTGCTTTTTGTTCTGTAGAGTTGCAATAGTCTTGAATAAAGTCTTCTTTACCTATTGACTTTGTCCAGTGCAATTTTTCTTGGCAACAACTTTCTAGACTTCCTAACAAATTTCCCATCAAAGTATTGTTTCAATGAAATTTCCCAATGTCTTCTCTGTTAAGCAAATAATATTGCATCTCACAAAGGACTTCAGGCTGGAAGAGGAGCAAAACTCACTTTCTTGATGCATCAGTTTAATTTGGAACAGAATAGCTAAGGCAACCTGGTACAACAACTGTTACTAAAAATACTCAAGGGGATCCCTGGGTGGCGCAGCGGTTTGGCGCCTGCCTTTGGCCCAGGGCGCGAACCTGGAGACCCGGGATCGAGTCCCACGTCGGGCTCCCTGCATGGAGCCTGCTTCTCCCTCTGCCTGTGTCGCTGCCTCTCTCTCTCTCATTCTCTGTGACTATCATGAATAAATAAATAAAATCTTTAAAAAAAAATAAAAAAATAAAAATAAAAATACTCAAAACATGTGAGTTCACTCTGAAGGAAGTGGTAGTAAAAGATGACTAGAGACTAACTTGATGGAGAATTTAGATGGGCGTCAGACAAGACATCTTTAAGTTTTGATACTTAAGTGGAAAGTTCAGTAAGAAGGGGAAAGAAAAGTTTAGGCAGAGAGAATTAAGTGTAATGGTCTGGAGACTGAAACATGGTCTGTTTAAAGAACAATAAGAAAGCCACTATGTCTAGACAAGTGGTTCTCAAACTTAGTGTGCAATAGAATCACCCAGTGGGCTGGTTAAAACACAGATGGCTGCAGAGATTCTGGTTCATCAGGTCTGGAGAGGAGCCTGAAAATTTGCATTTGCAAGTTCCCAGGTGAAGCTGATGGTGCTGGTCCAGGGACCAGTGAGGGAGCTGGAAAAGAATAGGAGAGACTTACTGAAGGGTCTCATAGACTCTGGCAAAGGGTTCAAATTTTATTCTAGGAGTAAGACAAAGTGATTAGAAGGTTTTAAGCAAAGAAGTCACAAGTTTTTGAGTACACCTAAAAAAATCAGTCTGGCTGCCATGTACATGGAGAGAAAGTGAATATTGAGCAGTCATTGGGGACACTCTTGTAAGAGCAAAAATAAAATGTTACTATGAGCTGTTTTTATTTTTTTATTTTTATAAGATGAATTCTCTTTTTATTTTTTTTTAATTTTTATTTATTTATGATAGTCACACAGAGAGAGAGAGAGGCAGAGAGAGAAGCAGGCTCCATTCAGGGAACCCGATGTGGGATTCGATCCCAGGTCTCCAGGATCGCGCCCTGGGCCAAAGGCAGGCGCCAAACCGCTGCGCCACCCAGGGATCCCTATGAGCTGTTTTTAAAGATTGGGGAAAGCAATCATATAAAGGAGATGGTGCTATTCAAATGATTCGATTGCTTTGTTATAGACACAGATAAAACAAGGATCTAAAATGATAAAACTGGGGGGACCTGAGTGATCTGGATGGGAGTAGTAGGTTTCTCACTTGAAAATCTGAACGTGCTAGATGCTAGTGAATTTTGACAGTGGAAGCAAGAAAAGAGCTAAATAGTATGTCTGTCGGCATGTGGATAAAGCACCTCCCACTAATGGACAAGTGTTGGAATATTTCTGAGTTCTTCAGAAGGCTCCTCTTCCCAGAAGAGCAGGAATAACCTCAGTGTTAAACACTGTGGTCATCCCCATGTGCAATGCCTTCAACAATCCAATGAGCAGAGGAATCTGCATGGCCCTGGTAAAACTTGTAACAAAATAAAGGATGGTGAAGGGGAGACTGTTTATGACTGGACCATTGGCTCCAGAAATTTGAGGAGTACAACTGCAGCAGACGACAAATAAATGATCATTTTTAAGGCATATTTTATTTACATCCCAGGTTTTAATGTTTTAAAGTAAACTTTTTTAAAGTGTAGTACACAATGAGATATGTATTAGTTCAAACTCTGCACTCATTTTTTTATCAAGCATCTCTGAGTTTGGGTTTCTAGATTCATTAAGATTTTCTATTGGGACATCCCTGCTGCCCCCTGGGAGGCATTGAATGAATGCTCCCATTCTTCATCTCCTTTCCTTGAATTTTCCCATTCCTGAGCCCAGCATTGGGTGTATAATTCAAAGAATATTGCAAACCATTGCAACTACCTTGGAACTGTCTTTAAATTTTTCTTTTTTTTTTAATTTTTATTTATTTATGATAGTCACAGAGAGAGAAAGAGAGAGAGGCAGAGGGAGAAGCAGGCTCCATGCACCGGGAGCCTGACGTGGGATTCGATCCCGGGTCTCCAGGATCGCGCCCTGGGCCAAAGGCAGGCGCCAAACCGCTGCGCCACCCAGGGATCCCTAAATTTTTCTTAAATGAATTTTATTACTAACAAGGTGCCTTCTGAAGCAGACTCTTAGACATTGATTAGCACACAGGATGTTTACCAGGCAGTGTTCCTAGAATCAACACTTGGGGAAGGTCAGATGTGTAGTAAGGAATTTGGCTTCACTTAAAGAGAAATATGGACTTTGTCCCAACTTCCAAGAGGTGACCTTTAAACATTTGAAATTTCTCTAGTGATAAGAGTGATTGGTTATTCATGGAGGGCCTCATGGACTGTATCTGATAGTTTATGCGAACGAAATGACTCAGGATAGGGGTTGGCCATGCCAAAAAGACTAGCCAAGTGATTCAAGGGTTGGAACTTTGGGCAGAGTGATATCAGTCCAACCTCGGGAGGGAGGCTGGAGGTTGAGTTCAACCATACAGGCCATAATTCAATTAATTGTATTTATGTTATGAAGCCTCAATAAAATTCTGGACACTGGAGCTCAGGTGAGCTACTGGTTGGTAACAGTCTTTGAGAATTATCACACATATTGTCATCAGGGAAGGGTAATGGATCTGGACCCCAAGGAGAAAGGATACATATAGGATGTTCCAGATCTTGCATTTTGTGTATCTTCCTTTGGCTGAATCTAATTTGTATATTTTTTCTATAATAAAACTGCAATAATAAATACACTGCTTCTTGAGTTCTGTGAGTAATTCTAGTGCATTATCAAAC